CTGGGATTACAGGCATGAACCACCACGCCTGGCTGCCTTCTTTCTTCTTTTTTCTTTTTCTTTTGTTTTCCTCTTCGCAGGGCATTTTCTTAGTATATATTCCTAATAGGGTCTAAGTAACCTGACTGAGATTAAAAATTTAATGAATCATTTGGAAAGTGGCTAAAGTCTTCATGCATAATTGAGAAGTTATGGTATCAAGTATTCATAACACTATTGTGTTATCACAATGCTAATTTTTAAAAAATCATAATACAAACATTTACTATTGTTTGTAATGGTTGTGATTTTAAAAAGATATTAAAATACTAAAGTCCATAGCAGAATGTAAAGGACACTGGGAACATTGTAAGGAGGCCAAATCTTGTCCCTGCCCTGAGCGTGATGAGTTTGAATTTGATCAAGTAACTTAGCTACTTGTCACATTTTCTGATTGTTAAAGTGAAGTTGATATTACTTTTTTAACTCAAAGTTTATTATCTCAGAATTTGAGTTCAGTCCAAAAACATGGGCCAAGTCTATTTGGCATGTCAGAGAAATCTGGCTTGCTTTCCTTTCAGGTAAATGCTGTATAAAGTATAAAATAAAGGGACCTCAAATAATAGATATAAACACTTAACTACCAACAACCTCCAAAAAGGCCAGCCTGTTTTAAAGTTATTACCAATGGGAAGTAGAGACCATTTCAGAGTACAGTGAAACAAATTTATCTTGTTGAAATTTGTTTTCATTTTTACTACATTAAGAAATCTGTGTCAGCCTTACATTTCTTAAGCAACTTATGACCTAGATTTATGTTAAAATAAACTACAAACCAAAGTAACACCACACAGAAAAAATACAAAGTCTAAATAGTAATATATTTGTTTAAAGCCAAATTGTATTGATTTCTTTATTTAAGCATCTGCAGATGGCAAAATTTAGTGACCTAAAAATCTTAGCTACCTGCAGTGAAGAGTCATGTACAATTCTGGACTTAAGTCATATTTTAAATTTTTTCTACTAAATACATTCTTTTAAATTATTTTTTGTAAATGATTCCTTCATACCTAAAATACAATTTAATGTGAATTCGTTGTTTATTATGAGTTGAGTCTCAGAGAAGGCTATTCTGTTGCAAATATTATCAAGGGAGGAGGAATGGAGAGAAGTTGGTTAATGAGTACAAAAATACAGTTTGAAAGAATAAGTTCTAGGAAATTAGTTAACAAAAACTTATTGTATATTTCAAAGGAGCTAGAAGAGAACTATGGTGTTCCCAACACAAAGAAAAGATAAATGCTGGAGGTGATGGATGTCCCCGTTACCCTAATTTGGTCATTACATATTACACATTGTGAAATGTATCAAAATATCACATGGACCCCCAAAATAGGTACAATTATGGTACCTTAATAAAAAATACCCAAAAGCCCCCAAGCATTACCAAGTAGGAGAATTTGCTCTTAAACTATCCTGTACTGGGAATGCATATTTCCTTTCAATTACCTTGCTTATCACTAGGTTTTGGGAAAAAAAAAAAATGACTTGAAGCAGTTTTTGTTCTTTAAAAAAATCCACGTTCATGAATCTAGTAGTAAGTTGAAAGATTAAAATGGGCCTTACAGCATAGGACTTGAGCGTGTTTGTTTATGTGACAAAACATGTACATCGTAGCGTCTGTAGCTGTGGTGATTTTCAAAAGATAGTAAAATGCTGAAGTCTGTAGTAGAACAGGCACGTGCGCGAGCATTCTCCACTGAATGCCAGAGATTGACTTCCTTATTGCTATTCACTGTGATCAAGGCTTTGCAGGTTGTTCAGTGGCTGAGAGTAAAACATTCCGCTGTGCTGGCTGATGCTGCACTTGGTCCTGACTCCCTGTTCCCTCCACTGTGCTGCAGCATCTGTCTCACTCTTGCCACCTGGGTTCTCTGCAGCCTCCTCACTGTGGTTAGTTTTGTTACAACCAATTTGTTTCCTTTGGCTGCTTAGAAGAAGCAAACTGGAAGGGGTGAGAAGTTTCTGTTGAAAGTTCTGAGCAAGTAGTAGCAACTCTTTGTGTAATGTGCCTTTTACTTTGATGTTGACATAACTCTGCAAAGCCCCTTTCCGTGAAGAATAAACAAACAACTAGAATTCAAGTCAAATCGCAATATTTCGTACAAAACAAGTGTGAGGAATGTACACAGATACACAGTTGTTTGGGGAAAGTTAATACTCATGCAAGAAATGAGATGATCCCTCTCTGTAATCACCGTTTTGAACCTTCTCATTCACTTTGAGGCATAGGGTCGTCATCAGTTCTATCCCCAAGTACTTTCATTCTGGTGACAAGGTTCTGTGATTTGACTTTATTTTACTGTCTGTGTGTTTTGGAAATTGCCTGTAGTTGAATAATCTGAGGTGAGGAATATCACTTCTGAAATTACTGTATTTAAAAATGTGTAATATCTTCCCTTCTTGGTTTTTGGTCTTATGCTCAATGGGTCCTCTGTAATTAATATTGTATATGATACACTGGTGCTTTGTCATGACCCCTTGAACAATTTCATTAATTGAATCAACCTGCATATAATAAACATTCTGACTATGTCACTTATTTGCCTTTATATGTTTATATGCTTTTTAAATCTTTTTAAAAAAGTTTTAGGACTGTGATGTATGTAATTTGAGATGTGAGAGCTAGTTTAGTTGTAGATATTTTCATTGCAGAAAAGCATGCAGAGCAAGAAGGAAGATGGTGGATTCTCCCTTCTTTTTTTTTTTTTGAGACAAAGTTTTGTTCTTGTTGCCCAGGCTGGAGTACAATGGCGTGATCTCGGCTCACCGCAACCTCCACCTCCTGGGTTCAAGCAATTCTCCTGCCTCAGCCTCCCAAGTAGCTGGGATTACAGGCATGTGTCACCACGCCCAGCTACTTTTGTATTTTTAATGGAGACGGGGTTTCTCCACGTTGGTCAGGCTGGTATCGAACTCCCAACCTCAGGTGATCCGCCCACCTCAGCTTCCCAAAATACTGGGATTACAGGTGTGAGCCACCGCACCTGACCAGATTCTCCTTTCCTAAAAGGACAAATTGAAATAGTAAATTAAGTGCACAGGTATACATTATTAAATGTCTTTCTGTTTTTTACCTCTCCATAGCCATATGATGTAAACTTACAAGTAACCTCGGTGTTATCTAGACTTTCTCTCTTCCCTCATCCACACATCCACGAGTACCTTTTGGATCCTTATGTGAACCTCGCTCCTGGCTGTAGATCTCTCTTCTCTGTAATTGTCAGGGTGAGTTACTAGTTCTGTTATATTCCCTAGGATTGATAAGTCTGCAATTAATATGTTAACATCATTGTATGCAGTTAGTGTCACATAATGAAAAATATATCTACTGCTTCAAAGTAATTGTTATACATATATATACACATTATATATAATTATAATTATATATGATTATAAAATAATTTTTAAAATTATTTTTAATAATATGTAACTTTTATTTTAAAGAATTAGGTATGAGTCCTTGGTTAAAGATGATTATATGAGTAGTGAAAGTTTACATTATTTATTAAATGATGGGAATGAAGATTTTTTCTAAAATCCTGAGGTTGTCTATGTAGCTGATTTCGGGAACTGAGGTGCCTTGCCTCTGTGATGCAGGTTGTTGGAGACCTTATGCTTCGAATCCAGCGTATTCAAGACTTTACTCCCAAGCTTCTGTTAGTCAGAAAGCGATTACTTGGTTTGGAACCTGAAGGCCCTCTGTAAGTTCATGTTTTACGTTTTTTTAATCCAAAAAGTTCAGTGAACTTAATGATCTGCTGATACATTGAATTGATTTATTGTCTGTTTTTCCCTTACCAGTATTGACCACATCACACTGCTAGAGGGTGTGATTGTGTTAGAAGAGTTCTGTAAGGAGCTGGCGGCAATTGCATTTGTGAAATATCACGCTTCCTCCACACCATAAATAACATCTTTCAAGTAACTAGGGGAAGTGAACTACTGTGTACATTTCATCAAAAAAGACTCAGCTCCACCCAGCCACAAGAGGATAAAAAGCCTTTTTAAACGAAGTATTGCTGTAAACTGGACAGAACCATTAAGAACCTATTGAGTGGACATTCTTGGTAAAATGTTGTATAATGTTGTTTTCATTGGCTTTATCATAATGGTTCTATTATAAAATTGCACATTGTCGAATCCAGGATACAATCAAAGGAACTTCAGGAAATAAGCATTTCTAATGACTGTGTTTGAAAAGCTGCAATATTTCCGATGTCATGACTTTGATGATATTTCTGTTATATTAATATCCTTTTAGGTAGCAAGGCATTTTGACATTCTCTGGGACTCAAATGCTTATATTATTTTGGATTAATAAGTAGCAAAAAAATCACTAATTTTATAACTTTTTAAGGTCAGAATTCTTATCAAACAAAATATGAAAAAAACTGTAAATGAGAAAAAATACAATTCAGAAACCATTGAATGAATTAATTATAGGAGATAAAAATGTGTAGAGCACCATTAACTTTCTTCAGCTTTTTTAAGAATAACAATTTAATATGATAAATTCTTGATCAATATATCTCTATTTTTAAAGAAATGTTCTTTTACTCTTGTGCACATAGCCATGTTAGTGATTTTCTTCATGTATGGGTCCCAGTTGATTTAAACTGTCATTTTCGCAACAATGTTGAATTTATGCTCACCATTGGTAGTGTTTGCTAAAATTGTATTTTTTTTTTAAACTAAGTAAGATGTACTGGGTCGAGAACCTTTTCCCCCCCTCTCTCCCTCTCAGAAAATTGCTTTATAAAATTGCTTTATAATTTGATTTTCTTACTGAAACGCATGGTGGTGTCTAGGTGAGGAACTGACTGATAACCCTTGGCAGCAATCAAAATGCCAGTGGCTCCTCGATGTTTACATTTTTTTCTAGTTTGTTTGGTCTTTTGTTTTAAATGATTCTAAAGAGATTAAAGAAAACAGACTTTTAAACGTCCTGTTTACATGTGAAAGGATTAGGGGAAATTGGGTATGTATGTGAATGGGTATACATGTAGGAACCTGTAGTTCAGCAAAGCTGCGCTGGGCACAGCATGCTTGTACTCGATGGACAAAATCGTGTTTGCTAGTCCGCTTTCTATTTTTCCTTTAAGTGACACTGATCACTCAAATACTGTTTTTAATCTATTGTTTGTTTTTATCTGACGTGTTAAGCAGCAGCACTTTCCTCTTTATCTTTTCATTTACTGATATTTGGGGGAACAGGCTATCAAAGGCTGCAGCTTGAAGGGAACTCTCACTACCCCCTCTAGGAAGTTATTTTATGTAGCATGTTTGTATATATGCATTGTGTGGCGTGTGCGTAGAGGCTTGTTTTACACCTGTCTGCTCATTTTGTTGTATTAGCTTTTCTGGTTTATTTCATAGTTTGTTTTTGCTATTTATTAAGAACAATATCAAAAGATTATGAATAGCATCAGCTCTAGAATGCTTACCACTGTTAAAACAACAAAAAGACTAAACCTCCAATTTCATGCAAATCTTTATTAGTTTATTCTAAGAAATTTATTAAGTAAAACAAAGAAAAAACAAAAGTGGGAGATAGTTATTTTGTGCATGATTGTCTTTAAATCATTTTGAATGATGTGAAGGCATTATTCAGTTTGCTGTATTTTTTTAAATCACTTCATACAGGGAACACTTCGACATTTCCATTTCTAGATGTAGTAACAGTCTACTTCGACGTACAAGTATTTAAACTAAGGCATTAAGAGATATTAGATATTTCTTAATGTTTTCATAGTGCTCAATAGGTGTAGTAGCAATGATATTACCTCTGAAACCAAATACTGTTTTATCCTTGATTTCACTATGGGACCTTATAATTACTCCATGAAACCAAGCTCAGAAAAGCTTTAACTCTTGTGTGTGTGTATGTGTATGCTGCTTCTGAAAATATAATTTTCCTAAGTTATTGTAATGACTTTAATTTGTAATCAGCTAAGGCTTAAGATTTCATTTCTCGTCTAAGTTTCTGTTTTTCTTCCCTTCTTTTTTTCTTTTACATTTAGTTCAGAGCTAGAGCCAGTACAAGCTCTCACAGTGAGTTCAATTTGTTAGTTGAAACGTTTTACTGCATCACTAGTCTTTCTTAAACTGTCTGTTGACAGCTGAATATTTGTTACTCAGTACTCGCAAAAACAGTGACTAAAATGCACTATGTTGAGTGGAAAGCGCGGTCATAACAATTGATTGCCATAGCAAGTTCCAAAGTGAATTTCAGCCTTGCTTCACATTTGTATCAATAAGTACGCACATTTTTTAAAACTTTCTAACAGTATAGTCTTTGGATTTGTTTTTAGTTATGAGCCACATTCTTTACTTGATTTAACTCAGATTTGTCTTAGCCTATTGCCATATAGTACTCACCTTATAACTATGTAACTTTCTCATAATGTATCTGTTTGTGCAATATGGAAGCTGTGAGTGGATTCATAGCTTTTTGGTTTAAGTGTACATTATTGTGTGTGTACATATGTATATATGTGTATATATAAGGACCAAAATTCTTAGCTCGCTTACACTGTTGCTAGTGTAAACATTGTTACACTTAATTTTACAGGGCACAAATTATGGAATTACTTCATAAATTCATGGTAATGTTTCCATAAATTATTGCATTAATATACAATTACCATTTAATTATGAAGTCCATCAGTATTGACAGAAAAAGTTACAGTGAAGTGCTAAAACCACATTATATGGTAATTATATTTTGGGTTGCATAGTAAATCAAATGTGCATGTCATTGTGACACTTTATGGGTTAAAACATGGTAGATAATCACATTTCTGGGCCCTGTAAAATAGTGTTACTGTAATACTCTGTTTTGCCTCCTGCCTTGTTTACATTAAACAGGATATTTGGTAAATTTTTTGTATCGAACGTTGTGTAGGTTACTGACAGTGTTACCAACGTCTGGAATTCTTGGTCAATCCGTGGAGAAACTCTTCAGATGGTCATTGTGTACCTACTCTCTCTTCAAAGGAAGTTGTGATCAAGTTCAACTTTTTGTGCTAACAATGCATGCAGGACTAAGAGGGATGATCTAAAAAATAAATAATGTAATTTAAACAAAATGTCTTATGTTTTTGTAAAATTCTACTTGGGAACGTTTTATCCAATGATAAATCTCAAGCAAGTCTTAACTTTTTGCACCCCCAACACACAAAGGGATATGGCACACCACAATCAGTGGGTCTCTATAGTATTCTAGGGAGAGAACAAAAAGCAATATATCTATTTGTGGAGGAGAGATGTGTAGCTTGAAAAATTCCCCCAGGTAAACCTCATAGTAAACCTCATATATTTCCTCCACCTCCCTTCTTAATAATCACTGCACAAAAGGAAGGAATGTTATGCACGTCTGAGAAAAACAAATTTTTTTTTTTTTTTTTTTTTTTTTTTGAGAGCCTCGCTCTGTTCCCCAGGCTGGAATGCAATGGCACGATCTCAGCCCACTGCAACCTCCACCCCCTGGGTTCAAGTGATTCTCCTGCCCCAGCCTCCTGAGTAGCTGGGATTACAGATGCCTGCCACCATGTCCAGCTAATTTTTGTATTTTTAGTAGAGACGGGGTTTCACCATGTTGATCAGGCTGGTCTTGAACCTCTGACCTCAGGTGATCCACCTGCCTCAGCCTCCCAAAGTGCTGGGATTACAGGTGTGAGCCACCATGCACGGCCCAGAGAAACAATTTGTTCTAAGCATTATTTCTTAGTATTTTTCTAACACATATAAAAACTTTTCTTTTTAGCTGACACTTAAACTCTAGACTTATTCTGTTCACTTGAGCATTTGCCAGAGTTTCTGAATTGGAAACAAAGAAACATGTAATACACAGCACAGCCAGAAAGAGAAGAATCCAATGATTAATCCCAACTACCCGAAGATTCTTTTCAAAATCGCTTTAGACGGAAGGAAGATGATAGGTTGAAAGGATGGAAGAGGCAAGGTTTAGACACTGAAAAGTTGAAATCACCCTCCTTGCCCTGAGCTACTTCAAAAGAAAATTGCGTTTTGGGAATGCATAATTGGATCCCCAGTCCAAAACCTGCTTCAAACTGTTAAGAATTTAGCAGTGTTTTAGCTGGAAAACGAGTAATCCCAAGGGAATTTAAGGAATTAACATAAAACTGTAAAAGTTGAAGTTTTGCTGGACTAACTCTCAAGTAAAATCTATACTTTTCAAAAAAAAAAAAAAAAAAATATATATATATATATAAGAGCAGGCAGAAACACTGCATCTGAGTTTGTTTAACACTGAATGATGCAGAAGAAATGGAGTATGTTTTAGTTGTTCTTATGGCAATAAAGTTGTTACCTCTGGACTACCTTGCAGAAGGTCGGTCTTTTTGTGTTTTGTTGTTTTTTTTTTTTTTTAATTTATGTTCTGGGATACATATGCAGGATGTGCAGGTTTGTTATATAGGTAAATGTGTGCCATGGTCGTTTGCTGCACCTATCAACCCATCACCCAGGTATTAAGTCCCATGTGCATTAGCTATTTTTCCTGATGCTCTCCCTCCCCACCCCGCCCCCAGCACAGGCCCCAGCATGTGGTGTTTCTCTCCTTATGTCCACATGCTTTCATTGTTCAGCTCCCACTTATAAGAGAGAACATGCGGTGTTTGGTTTTCTGTTCCTTTGTTAGTTTGTTGAGGATAATGGCCTCCAGCTTTATCCATGTCCCTGCAAAGGACATGATCTCATTCCTTTTTATGACTGCATAGTATTCCATGGTGTATATACACCACATTTTCTTCATCCAGTCTATCTTTGATGGGCATTTGGGTTGATTCCAGAAAACCAGTTCTTAACTTTATTTGGTAATATGCCCCACAACCCGCCTCAGGGAGACCCGTCTAAGCCTGTTTCATTCACACTCACTACTCTTACTGATTTGACTATTGTGGGCATTAGAAATTTCTCTGTTATATCATTTCTAAAAATGTATCAGAAATAGGACATCCACAAACCAAACAAGAATTTTGTTTATTTAACACATATTTCTCAAGAACTTTCTGTGAACCAGGTATTAAGGTGCTAGGAAAACAAAAAATGATTTCAGCCTTAAAAGAGTAACGGTCTTGGTGTGGCGTTTACAAAAATAAATTACAGGGCACACTGGTGAACACTGTTAGAGAAACAAGACCCAAGTGTTGTGAGTGCCAGGGAAAGGAAGTAAGATGGCAAATCATCTAAACAGGAAAATCTGAAACTCAAGCCTTGCCTGAATATTCTTACTTTTAAGTATATTATATATATATATATGTATTATAATACATATATGTGTATAATACATATATATACTTATATATGTATTATTCTTACTTTTGGGTTGTAGTCTTACTTTTGAGATATGCAAGATATTCTCAGAAGTTATAACCAGAACAGATGCCAGGCACAGTAGCTCACGCCTGTAATCCTAGCACTTTGGGAGGCTGAGATGGGCGGATTACTTGAGGTCAGGAGTTTGAAACCAGCCTGGCCAACATGGTGAAACTCCATCTCTACTAAAACTACAAAAATTAGCCAGGCATGGTGGTGCATGCCTGTAATCCCAGCTGCTCTGGAGGCTGAGGCAGGAGAATCGTTTGAACCAGGGAGGCGGAGGTTGCAGTGAGCAGAGATCACACCACTGTACTCCAGCCTGGGCAACAGAGTGAGACTCCATCTCAAAAAAAGAAAAGGTTATAATCACAACAGAGCCAACCTGGCAAGAAACTTCTGCATCCTATTGTATTTGCGATGCTTAACTGTTGCCTTTCACTTCATTCTGATGTTGGTATAAAGCACTAGCCCAAAGAACAGTGCTTTGGGCCCATATTTTCTCAGCTGATGAATAGCACTTAGCTTGTGATTTGTGATCTCTCTCTAGAACTATTGTATAGCAAGAAGCCACATAGTCAACTGAAATACTAAAATCAAAAGATTAAACTGAACTTTTAAAATGACCCAAAGATTAGGGGTAAGATTTGATTCAGCTAAAGCATTTGTAGAACCAAGCCTTTCTCCTTACTTTTAACTCAGCGCTCTTTTGACAGCATTCTTTATTCTCTCCTGGTTTGGGGCACAAAGCAGTTTGCATGTCCGATTAAGGGAGAACCAGCCTAGGCTGATGGAGACAGTGGAGATGAATTCAGAAGCCGCGTGCCAGACATGCATAGAGAGAGAGGATGTGTAGACTTCCCCTTGGTTATCATCCCACAACTCCCACCCATTCCTGATATCTAAGCCTGGAGTCAGGCTAGAAGCCAGGTGGACAGGCCAGAGCTCACTCCTGCCAGGGAGCAAGATCAAGAGAGTCCTGCTTCCTTCATGCACAGTCTTCTTGAGGTAGCTTCAAGGAATTATCTGATTTCCCAAGTATGAGTCTAAGGAGTTAAAATTCAGTTTGCTTTATAATTTTTTTTTTTTTTTTTTTGAGACAGGATCTTGCCCTGTCACCCAGGCTGGAGTGCAGTGGCACAATCAGCTAACTGCAGCCTCAACTCAAGCAATCCTGCCTCAGCCTCCTGAGTAGTTGGGATTACAGGCAGGTGCCACTGTGGCCAGCTATTTTTATTTTTGTAGAGATAGGGTCTCACTATATTGCTCAGGCTTATGATTTTATATTATGACCTTTCTCTTCCCTCTAGTTCAGGGGTCCCCCAACCCCCGGGCCACAGACCAGTACCAGTCCGTGACCGGTTGGGAACTGGGCAGCATAGCAGGACGTGAGCGGCAGGCGACCACCTGAGCTCCGCCTCCTGTCAGATCAGCAGCAACATTCGATTTTCGTAGGAGCACTAACCCTACTGTGAACTTACACGCGGGGATCTAGGTTGTGCGCTCCTTATGAGAATCTAACTAATGCCTGATGGATCTCAGGTGGAACAGTTGCATCCCGAAATCATCCCCAAGTCTGTGCAAGAATTGTTTTTCATGAAACCAGCCCCTGGTGCCAAAGAGGCTGGGGACCACTGCTCTAGTTGGACTAATCAGTATATTGAGGAACTGACAGGGAGTCTTTTTAAAAAAGTGGGGGGAATATATATATTTTTAAAATACTAGGTAATACTGCATACTTCTCTCAATTGAAGAACCACATCTTTACATGAAGGTAAACCCCCTAGCAGACTGCCAGAAATCTGAATACCACCATGAGTCACTTTGCTCTTATATCAGAGGGGAGAGTAAGGGGAAAGGGAAGATATTCTTTGATTTTTGTAGCTGTAAGTTCATAATGGTACCCATGTTGTGATGTGCGTTCATTTGCATGGTGATCACACTATTAATTTCTTCCAATGATGTGCTAAAGGTGTCCGGGATGGTATTCAGTTTAGAGGATCCAGACAAGCCAGGAACATGACCTGGGTCTGACAACCACTCTTTTTCAAGGCTGAGAACTATAACCATAATTGCAAGCCAAAGAGCTAGATGTGGTTGAAAAAAGAACAAGAGACACACCCAGCCTGTGAGATTAGGCAAGACAAGCAAAAGCATCTCCAAGGCTGTTATTGCCTCAGGCCTGTGATTTATGAGTAAGGAATCATAAAATCAATTTTACTATAATGCAGAAAGATGAGATGCCATACAAATTCACTATACTCTGGATAAAGCTATATTTCAAATCCCTGAAGATGAGATTCATTTATATAATAACACGAGAAATGTATTCCTTATTCTACTCACAAGTAGAATAGCATGGAGGGTTTTAATTGATTAGATTTCCCTAGAGAGCCATGTACTGGAGCCTTCTAGAGGAGAAACAAATTAGCTGTTCCTTAAACATTATTCTTCCATGTTTAAAGTATGTTCTTCTACTTAAATCTCTTTATCCTGTTGTTCTTATCAACAATGTAGCAAGTCACAGAGCATTGATGGTTCTATATTCTTTGTGGGCTGCTTCAATTCTTTGTCCTATGAGCTTTATTTCCATTTTGTTTTAGAAATGATTAGAAAATAGACCCTCATTTTCTTAAGCTGCATTGGTGTTGGGCTCCCACAGAAATGGAGTTGAGAAGGAAATGTCTACTTTTAAAATAAAATATTACTCATTAGTAATGTAGCTTGGACTCCTTGACAACAAACAGGT